ATTTAGTCCTTATTTACACTTTCAGTTTCTCACACCAGAGAAACTATTCGGTATTTGTACATGTGTGTCCTATTTATTTCACTTAAGAGTATCACCTCCATGTGCATCCACTTAGCTATAAATGTCTCTTAATTTCTCATTTTTTATGGCTGAGTAAAAAATTCTCATCATTTAGAGAATAGTGTTAAAGTGAGTTCCTCAGAATATTCAAGGCATGGTTGATTCTCATCCTGCATAAATCATCAAAAATAAAGATAGAAAGTTTTCTAATTTGGTGTCTCAACACGAAAGAAAATTTAGTGTATTATCACTTAAGAACTAAATGTCCAAATCATTGATAAAATTGAGATTAAATTCAGAAATATATTAGAAGAACTTATATCCTAACCAAGAAGGGTTTGTCCCAAGAATGGACAGTTCACCAATACCATTCAGTTATGTAGCTCAACATATGAACAGCAAAGAAGGAGAAGGATTCCAGGAGATTTGTTTGCTAGAAATACTAACCATACTATTAAATAGTCTTAGCTAATTAGGATTAGAAGGGTGTATTTGTACTAGAAAATCAAGGTAAACCTCAGATCTCACGAAAAAATGTTAGAAGCCCTGTAATTATAATGATGTTCCCATCGCTGCCATTGTTATCATTGCAATGGACTCAGGGTCAGCACACACTGGTCCACAGCCAAATCTGGCCAGCCACCCACTTTTATAAGTAAATTTGTTGGAGCCCAGGCATGGTGGTACTGTAATCCCAGGACTTGGGAGGCTGAGGCAAGAGGATCACTGCAAATTTGAGGCCAGCCTGGAAGACCAGCCTGAAGTACATAGACTGTGTCTCCAAAAAACAAAAAAGCATACAAAAAGTACGTTTATTAGAACATGCTCTGCTAGTCTACTTCCATGTTGTTACAGCTGTTTCTGTACTGTAGCAACAAAATTGAGAAGTTGAAGCGAAGACTGACTCTAACACCTAAATTTGTCTATCCCCTTTTCAGAAAAAGTTTGCTGACCTCTGTACTAGAAGTTGACTGTTAAAAAAGGACAGTCTTTATCGTATTTTTAGGTTTATATATTGAAAAGAAATAGACATGATGCTCAAAGAATGAAAAGGACCTCTGTATTTTGATACACATATCTAAAACTGTCAGTGACTTACTGGTAAATGAATGTCCAAAAAGGCACATTTAATACCATCCCAGTTATTACCAGGGAGTTATATATGCTCTAAAATATATACAAATGAATACGGAAAATGCACAGCAGCCATTAATATGATTAACTAAATAGTGGTATTCAAAGGGTATCATTAGCTTTTTATTCTGTTGTCTTTCTTTTTTGCATGTGATATCAAAGTTTAGAAGAACAAAAATATGTGCATTAAAATACCTTCCTTACAGTGGTTCCTCTGTTAATGAACTCACTTCTCTCCATGATTCTGGTTGTAAGCCGAATCAAATTTCCTATAAGGTCATCATTGAACCTAGCCGCTAAATTTGGTTTGGTTCTCAACCAATTCGGTTTACAAACAGAATTGTGGAAAGAATTAAGTTTGTGAACTGAGGTACCACTCTATTCATTATTATTCAGCTCTCTTTTTTATTTTTTAAGGCATCCTGAAATGTTTTATGTCTGTGCTGTTTTATTATTGAACTTTTTTAATTTGGGGGACTGAAAATCATCCTTTCAGAGAAGTATAATTATCATCAATATGTATAGTAATGAAAATCTGGAAAAAGATTTCATATAATTTATGCTTATTAACTTTAGTATAAGTGACTCTTTCTCTGCCCCCATTAAAAACCCTGTTCTTTTGCAATTTTACTGGTAACATCAAATACCTTGCTCCTCAGAAGTGTAAGCCTAGCATCAAGAGCATTACTTGGGAACTAAAAAAATGCTCTTGGGCCTGCTCAGAGCTCCTGGCAGGACCTGCATTTTAAGACCTTTTAGGGGATTTGTGTGCTCATAACAATTTAAGAAACACAATTTTACAATGTCTGTAATAACCTTAGTAGTGTATCTGCTGTTCTTCTGTGAGACATAGTGATGTACTAATAGTGCACTGTAAGTTTTGAAAGAGAATTTTTGAAAGAGAATATCAGAGCAGAGGTTCCTAAATACTATGCTCTGAAATATTTTCTATAATATGTCCTACTTCTCCTGGAACAGCTATGGAGTTTCTGATTCAGGTGTTTTAGTTGGGGCTTAAGAAACTGGTTTTGCACAAAACAAACAACAAACTCTCAAATGATTATAATATACAGCACAATTGGGGATCACTGTATAGTAGAGATCCATTCTGTATGCAGAGTCCTCCTCTGGACTTGACACCCTGAAACAGAAAGACCCACTCCACTCTCTGCTACTAAGCAAAGAGTTTATTCTTTTATACCTGTATGAATGAATAAGTGATTTGAATAGAAGCAGATAGAGGTTGGGTTAAAAAGTATGAATGATGTAAAATGGTTTGATGCTGTCATGGACTGGACATTATTTAGTATGTATAAGCTTGCAAATGTGTTAGTCATGTTCCTGGGTTCACTTTCTAGACTAATTGAGCAGTTCTTTCCCAAATGGATCGGTGCCTTAATGTACAATTTCATTCTTTCTGGTTGGAATTTTATACCATTGAAAGATAGTTTTAGCACTAACATCATCATCATTCATCATCATCATCGTCATTACTGTTCAGAACCAGGGACTGAACTCAGGGCCTTTGCACTGAGCTACATCCCAACCTTTAAAAAAAATTTTTTTTTTTTTAATTTTGAGGCAGGGTCTCACTAAGTTGCTAAGTTGGCCAGATGGGACTGGAACTTGGAATCTTCTTGCCTCAGCTTCCCTAAGTGCTGGCGTTCTAGGCAAGCACCAGTGTGCCTGGCCTGCACTAACCCAGTTACTAACCTGACATGACACTGAAAGTAGAGCTGGAATTGCAGCCTTTGACCCTGAGCTCTGTTAAGAGGTGGAATGAGTAGATTTAAAACTTTATAGGCCGGGGATTTAGCTCAGTGGTATGGGCCGTCTGCCTTGCAAGCATAAGGTCCTGAGTTCGATCCCTGGTACCAAAAAAAAAGAAAAAAAAACCCTTTATTGTGCACAGAGTCCTTGGTTTAATCCCCAGCACTGCAAAAAAAAAAAAAGAAGAAAATTATGTTTGAATGGAAAAAATGAGCACAAGGGAGGATATTTTTAACAAAGTAGATTTGTGCAGTATTATTGTGATTGTTTTGTAGCCCAGTAACTTTAAACCCTTGGCAGCATAGCTGTGTTTTTCAGGGTTTGTCATAATCTATATTAAAAGTCAAGACTTTGAGATGTCACTTAAATGGTAGCTAGTTCCAGTGATGGTATTTAATGAACCCTAAGTATTATGGATTTTGTTTTCCCACAGGCTCAAAGTCTAACTCCGCAGGACTACAATCTGCGGTGGTCAGGCCTTTTGGTAACAGTGGGCGAAGTCTTGGAAAAGAGTTTACTAAATGTCAGCCGGACCGACTGGCATGCAGCTTTTACTGGCATGTCACGTCAACAGATGATCTACAGTGCAGCCAAAGCCATCGCGGGCATGTACAAGCAGCGCCTGCCACCCCGGACCATATGAGGGGAGACTCTTCCCTTTCCACTGGCTGTTCAAGAAGAGATCGTACCTTTTATGGTTGAATTAACTTCAATGAATCTAGTGATTTTTATAATTTTCCTGTAGACTACAATTTTTTTTTCCTAGAAAGGCATGGTATCATTCCAATAGAAGAAAAACATAGACCTTTTTGTAATTATATAATTTCACCTACCCTAGTTCTCAAAAGAAAATATACAAATATATTTATAATAAAGCACAACTTAATATACCAAATTTATAAAATGGAAATTCATGTGCAAAGACATTTAATTTAGTCATTTGTACCTGATTTTGTTTTTAAAGAAGACATGTTTATTAAGTTTTTTAAAAAGTGTTCTTTTTTGCTTTATGTATGTGTGCATGATCTCAGGTCTGATGGTGAGCAGTGTGCTCAACAGTTTACCTTAAGACACCTACTTGAAGGGAGATGTTGCTCATTTCTATGCATGTTTTATACAATATGGGCCACAAATGGACAGAATTGATATTTCTTTTTGGTCATCATATACACACATAGTTTGGAAAATTACGTGTGTTTCCTTTTTAAAAATAATTTCTGGCATTTTACAGATTTATACTGTGAACATTGGGATAATCCATTGTATTTTTTCATTGGTATATGACAACTAAAAGACAAATGATACAAGTATATTTTGGATCAGACCTACTTGTGTTGTTTTTGTATAATACTACTCAGCACTTCCAAGTGTAAACTCTTGACAACAGCACTGTTTCTGCTTCTGCTTATGTTCTCCACACTATAAAAAGAGAAATTTTTGAGAGGGAATTAATTTGCTTCTTACTGGATGGTATGTCTCTTACTTTAATTATTAAGGTTACTTCTTACTTGGTTGCCTTAAGCACTACTTTTTAAAATTTGTGCCATTCTGCATTTATTTTTTGTAGACATTTGCAAAACTATTTTATATTCAATCTAGTTATTTTAGTCCATTATGTTTGTATTTAGTGGAAGCATTTTCTTCTCTCAGATAATGTATTTTACCATTTTTGGATTTATGTAAATCAAAAGTGAGTAAATTTTTTTCTTATACAGTGAAATTCTATGCAAGTACATGTAACTTTTTAAAGATAGTTTCATATATAAATGTAATTTAATTTGTATTTACTCTTCTATACAGTTATTTAGATGTAAAAAGTAGCACAATCTCTGGCATTTTTATAAAAGGTGTCAAAGCCCCTATCCTGTACTGTCTTTACCTGTAAGGTTTGTTTTGTATTAATGTTATTTCTAATGATTCATTTCTCACATTTGCTACCTGAGAATGAGAAGAATTATTAGTTTTGAAACTATGTTAATTTCCAAGCACTGTATAATGATTGGTAAAATTCAGACTTCATTGTCATTCAGAGTAGTGAAGGAAATGAGACATAATCAGTTGCTATTGTGAACTTTTGCCCAGGGGTAATAGGGACAGAATACCTTTTCTTTGTCCTTTGTAGGAAAGAGAAGCCTTTCTCTACCATTTGCATCATTCCTGGAGCTATCCATTTCTTAATGGTATTTTTTCGGGAGATTGGCCCTGTGATAGGAGCACAGTCTTTTAATACAGTCTGAAGCCCATAGTTAAAATATTTCTGCTACTTTCTCTCCTATTATATAGGGAGATATCATAGGTACTAAAAATATCTGATTTTTTTTCTTTTTATTTTACCAAGTCTAAAATACCTTCGTTGATGCTTTTGAGGGTTGCTCTAGTAGAATCATAAACACCAGTTGGTGTTTCACTGGGTAATGATTTTCCTGCAGTCCCCAAATAGCGATGGCAGAGTTACTCCGTGGCTCAGTTGAAGCTAGATAAAATTCCTGCACCTCAGAGGTAAACCTCTTTGGAGCAGTGTGAGTGGGTGAGGAGGAGTGGAGAAAGGCAAATAGAGAGAAATACATGATCTGGTCTGGCCTCTGATTCTTTTCTTGGCCCATGTTCTCTTTGAAAGGCATCAGAGTGTATCTGATTCCACATGCTCAGCTTTGACATCTTCTGTTTTGTCTTCCTGGGATTTTCCTGTTAAGCTGGAGCAAGAGTAACTCACTATCTGTGGCACATTATGGCAGCTGAGCCAGGCAGTCTTACTAGAGATATTTAGACATTAGAGTGCGGTCATCAGTGTGAGGCCCTTTCCAGCCCTCCAGCTCCTGTCCTTTTCTCTTCCTCCCCATTTCCTTATAATTCCCACATTAGCATTTTAGGGGAATGGGTGGGTGTTTATTTGCATTTTTTTGTTTCTTAAACTTTAGGAACACCCATCTTTAACACAATTGATAGTAATTGTTGTGGTTATTTTTGTGATTTTTTTCTGAAGAGCTCCAGATTACTGAAATTTATGTTTTATATATTTAACCCAAATCACTTAATTTTGTAAGCTTAGACACTTTTTAATTAGTGTAGGAAAAACAGGAAAAATCAGACTCAGATTATTCCTCAGTTTATTCAGTTCCAGGCTTTTAAAAAATTATTACTGTTGTTTTCTTTTCTCTTTTTTTTTCCTGCAGGGTTGGAGCTCAAACCCAGGGCTTCATGCATACTAGGCAAGTGCTCTACCACTGAGCCACACTCTTAGCCCCCTGTTAAGTTTTTGAGGCAATGCTGAATTTAAGCTGTGCCTCAGAGACTGAAGTTTTAAAAGCTTTAGGTGATACTGATAGCTTCCTCTTTGATTCTCTTGTCATTTTTGCCTCCACATTGTTTATTCCTCAGTCTCTTTCAGAATTAATGAAGAAGAAAATTGAGCTGATATAGGCAAAAAGCAGTATGATAATATAAGTATATAAAAGTACACATGCATTTGTATTCAGAAATATGCAAATTCACAGTTTTTAACTCAGGGTCACCTAAATTGACATGCTGTTGAATTTACTGTGTTCTGTGGCTAGATAAAATTCTAAACATGACTTTGTGATTTGTGAAACCAAATTGATAGTATTCTTTGTTTTAAAAATTGTCAGGTTAAACACAAATTATTAAAAAATACGGAGTTTTACTCCAGGATAAGGTGTTCATTTTGTGATATTATGCAGAATAATGTATGAGTAAAATCAACTTTGTAAGTATGTAAATATGTCATAAATAATGCTTTAATTTATTTCCCAAAGGCATATAGTGATTTTTAAATGCCCATTTATATTTGTATTATATTAGAAAAACTCATTTTTTGTCTAAATTGGTTGCTGGCTGCCAAGAATTCTTGTAGAAAAGCAGCTTCAAATACCTTCATTCTAATGGAACTGTAGTGTTCAGGTACAGCAGGATTGTTAATGTCAAGGTCAGAGAACTCCATGTTTAGGAGAAAGGATACACTGGAGATAAAGGAAATTGAGCTGGAAGTTACAACCTGTGTTCATGAGGGAGCCTGTTTAGTACTGGATTTAATTTACCTTTGACCACTGAAAATGTCTTTTAATTAGCCAAAAGCTGTAGTGTACATTAGGGTTCATTTTGGTGCTGTACATAGGCTTGGATGGATGTACAATGACATGTTTCCATTATTATAATGTTGCAAAGTATTTTCATTCCCCTAAAAATTCTCCATGTTCTACCTGTTCAAACCCAGCTCCCACCCCAGACCTCTCATGCCCACTAATCATTTCACTGTCTCCTAGTTTGTCCTTTTCCAGAATGTCTTATAGTTGGCATCTTACACTGTGGTAGCCATTTCATATTGGTACACACTAAAAAGGTTTTCCTGTCTAGTTTTATGGCTTGGTATTTCTTAGTGCTGAATAACAGTCTGTTGTCTAGACGTACCACAGATCACTTCTCTCTCCACCTGCTGACCACTACCTTGGTTGTGTCCAGGGTTTGGCAGTTAGGAGTAATGCTGCTATAAATGTTTATGTCCAGTTTTTTTGTGGGCCAGGTTTTTAGCTCCTTTGCATGAATACTTGGAGTGCAATTGCTTTTATGGTGAGAGGGTTAATTCTGTTTAAAATGGCAAAATGTTCTTAAAAATAAAAAACTTATTTCTTGCTATATATATACTATTCTGAGCTTATGACCCCAGGACAAGAGAGATTTGTTTTGCTTTAGCCGGGTGGAGGATCCTTGCCAGAAGATAACAATATTAATTGGGGTGAGTTGTTTGCCAAGAAAGGACCACATATTTGATAGATTAAAAATATCACTTCTGAGACTAGGAAAGACCATATGAAATTTATACTCAATTTCAGAATTAAATGGAGAAGAAAAGTTTTGGCAGTAGAAACAAAATTGGCAATAGAATATGAAGGAGGTTTAAGAATAAACTCATTTTAAGAATCAAAAAGAACAAACTTGGGGCCGGGATTTAGCTCAGTGGTTCTGCTGCTTGCCTCTCCCTCGCAAGCACAAGGGCCCAAGTTTGATCCCTGGTACCAAAAACAGAATAGACTAACCTCTATATGTATTGTTGGTTAGGCACTAGATTAGAAACTTCTATATTAGGTTATTGAGATTTTATTTCTCCCATTTTTATAGGTATATGGAGATATATTTTTCTAGGTACTATAGATATATTATTCTAGGTACTATAGATAAACAGATTAAGTCATTTGTTCAATATCACAACTGAAGAATCACAAAATTCAGAGTGTGTGATTTGCTAAATAAACTATTCTACAATATCCTGAATACTTCAGGAAGTTATGGGTACATAATTCTATAAATACTTGTTGAATGAAACTGAATTCAAGCAATGACAGGAGGACTTTGCCTTACTACATTTCTAATTTTATAGTATGTTTAGCAAAAAGGTTTTACTCCATATTTCTGATATGAAAACATTTTCATCATTTTCAAGCTTGTGTTATTTAGATATTCTACATCCAAATTTGACACACTGTAAATTTAAGTTTACCTTTCGGTGTCATTTTTATGATAAAACCCAGAAATAATCTTTAGTGACATCAAGTAGGTATTTGAAGATGGGTGTAATGGTGCATGCCTATAATCCCAGCTACTCAGGAGGCTGAGGCAGGAGAATTGCAGCTTAGCAAGATTATCTCAAAATTAAGAAAAAATGGAGGGGGCTGTGTACATAGCTCAGTGCTAGAATGCTTGTCCAGCATGTGTGAGGCCCTGGATTCAATCCCCAGTACCAGAGCATGGAATAAAAAGGTATTTAAAGAAAATTAATTATTGTAAACTGGTCAAGCAAAGAACTATATGCCTTTTAAAAATATTCTTAGAATAATTTGTTATTGCAATACACATGTAGAAAAGAACACGAATTAATCAGAATGTGGATACATTCATGTAACCACTGCTGTCATAAAAATTAAGTCAGCCCCAAATCACCCCTTAGGCCTCCTGAAACTGTAGGGCTCTACCATCTGTAGAAGATAACCACCATTCTGAATTCTAATACCACAGATAATTTTGCCAATTGGAGGAATTTTACATAAATAGAATCCTACAAGATGGATTCTTTGTCTCTGATTTCTTCAACATTATATTTCTGTGAATCATCTGTGGTATTATATATAGCAGTGTTTGTTGCCTGCTTGTCTAGCGTTCTTTTTTCTGAATGTATCCACATCTATTCATCTTCTGTTGCTGAGCAGTTGTGCTGTTTGTGGTTTGTTTGGCTACAAGCAATAATCTTGCATACTTCCTTTGGTAAATGTATGTAGCATCTCCGTTGGGAATACAGGTAAGACAACTGATTAGGTCATAAAGTGTGCATGTATTCAGTTTCAGTATTTATTGTCAACATGTCTTATTGACTAAGTTTACTCTTCCTGTCATGATAATCACATTTCTATATGCTCTACGTTCTTGACAACCTGTTCATCTTTTTAAATTTTGGTTTTAATTTTATTTTCTTTGACATTAAAGATAATGAAGTTCATTTATTTGGATATCCTCCTACAGGAGGCATTAAATCTGCCCATTTTTTCTACTTAGTTTTCCCTCTGTCTTACTGATTTATAGAAGATACATATATACCTCCTAGGTACTGTAGGTACTTGCACATATCTCTCATCTTTCATTTCCATAGTGGCATCTTTCAAGGAGCAAAAGCTACAAAGAGATGATATCACTCTCTTCTTTTGTGGTTAGTGCAACATATGTAGTGTTTTTAAAAAATCTTTTCTTAACCCAAATTCAGGAAATTCTGTGATGATTTCTAAAATTTCACATTTGAGACTGACAGTCTTTCTATAATTATTTTACATGTATGTGAATTGTATGGAATAATTCCAAGTTATTGCTTTTCCCTTAGGGAGGCAGGTAGGTCTGGCCATTGCATTTTTATCTTGAGGCCTCATCTTCTTTAGATGCACCTCCAGCCACAATTCTGATGTCTATTCTTTCCTCGAGAGCCCAGTCCTTTTCTGACTATATAGTAATTTCTATTTAACTTAGCTGCCTGTAATATTAGGATTACAGGCATGCATTACCATCTCTAGTCCCTTTGTTTTCAATGTGAGAGCAGGAGCAGTTTGAAGTTGTAATCATATTGGGAAACACATATGAGTAATATTTGATAGCCATAATTTTGAAAAGACATAGAATCAGCTGGAGATCCTATTGCATCTGAAAATTTGATCCAGTTACTGTCTCTACATCCAAACTTGATAAAACATAGATAATATCTCTCCCTCTCAAGAATCTGAACTGCTTTTGTTCTCCTTATTCATCATCTGTTAATATAAGCATTTAGTAACTTAATTCTTAGCAAGAGTCTCCCCCTAAGTATAAAGCTAAAATTAATGTGTATTTTTAAAAATGGAATTGGTCTGCAGATTGTTAATAGAATTCTTGTATACCTTTGAGAATATTTGCTTTGTATGTTGAGGCATGCAGAATTACATGTAAAACCCCTGGCTGGAACCAGGTTAGAATTCTCTGTGCCCTTCTTGATCTCAGCCACATTCTCATCTTCCTCACCTTCCTGTGGGCTCTCATTACCACTTTTGTACATCTAATCTCTGGGCCCAGAGCATGTTATAATGCTGACTTCATTAATGTGTATGCAGGGAGGAGAAGAGGGAACAGCTGAGATGCCCAGCTTTGAAGATTTGCAGTGGAACAGACTCAAGACATTCAACCAAAACACTTGATTAGCCAGTACTTGAATGACCCTAAAGTATAGCAAGTATGTATTTTGCATTGTTTTTCTTCAGTGCCAAATTTCAGAGCATCAATAACCAGACATTTTATTCTGGTTATTGATAAGAACTTGCTATATTCATTGTCCTAAGCTGAATTTTCTGCCTCTAAATGCCACATATATCTTTTGCTGTATTCATTGTTTTGGCTCCACTGTGACTTTGTAATCATTGAGACTACAGCTGTATTTTCTTTCTGGTTGGTCTATCTGTTCATTTTGCTAACTCCTGGGTGTACTTTTAACCTGAAGGCATGAGCAGTAGACTTCATTTCTACATTCATACTTGAACATTTAATAGTCATAAATTAGTAAAGAATTACTTTCTCTCCCTAATAATTTAGCTTTGTAAAAAGCATCATTTTTGGATTAAAAAACCAGAGAAGATTATACTATCACCTGGTGACTCTGTGGGACCAAAATGACTCCATTTTGGAGCCGTCTCCTTTGTTCTCTCAAATTTGTGCTTAAACTAGGAATTCACCACTTGAAATTCCTGAGTTTATTACCCAACCACCTGTGTACCCAGGGAGAGAGCGTTCCAGGCACACTATCTGTAGGATAAGCAGTTAATGAGCTGACTGTCCACACAAGATAGATGCGGCCATTAGTGGGTCTGCTAACGATCAGTATGTAACAACCGGCCGTTAATCTTTGCCCCTTTTCTCCCTCACAAAAACCAATACGTAATCCCCTTCGACCCCCAAAGCCTAGCCAACCAAAACCCTACACTTCATATGTATTAAGTATTAACCAATCACCTGGCTACTAATAACCAAAGCTTGTTGTATTCTCAATAAAAACCCTGCTAGTTAGGGACTCAGGGCTCTCAATCTCGATCCGCTGTGTCGGTGACAGTTGAGAGTCCCTGCTTAAGCTTGAATAAACGACCCTTGTGTGCTTACATCGGAAACGGCCTCCTGGTGGTCTCTGGGACTTCACAATCTGGGCACAACAACTCAAAGTTTCTACCGAAGAGCTCTACAAATATTAAGTCCGATATGTTTGTTCCAAGTAAAAATAGTTTAATTGATAAAGTTAAAATAGTTTAATTCATCTTTGATTAATCTTAAGTTGGAGAGTAATTTTTCTTTTGTTATATCATGGGATTTCCTGTCCTTGGGATTGTTTTCACTTGGAAGTTGTGCATTGTCCATATACTTTATATTTAATTCATGCAGCAACAATAGACTGATTTCTTATAGGTTAAAGAAAGTGAGGAAGCTGGAGAGAAGACTACTTGAGTCCTGGAGGTGTTCATGGACCCAGAGTCCTTTCACTATAGCTTGACTCTCTACCTGACAGATTTGGGGCAGAGACAGAACACTGAGGAGAGTGATGGCTGTCCCTTCTGAGAGTACCACTTACAGACCAGAGCAGAGTGTGTATCAGAAATAACTGGTGGCCTATTCTGTCTTTTGTAGGAAAACTGAGACAGTGTGTTTCTGAACGGTTCTTTTACTCTACCTTTTCTAGGTTGATGGTGCATTTTTTTTTGGAATAAATATATGATACGAGTTTGGTGTGAGTAGTTGTTTCAGCTCCTTATTACAGAAACATGATCCTTTGCAGGACAGAATGAACTTGCCCTTTGTCTTTTGTATAATCATTAGAAATGAATTACCAATATACATAAAAATCACTTTGTAAACTACTCTAGGCCAAATTAGACACCTGTGGGGTCAGGCAACCCAGAGATGTAATAGAGGTGGAAGAGAGGGAGGAAAAGGCAGAAGAGAAACCCACCCCAGAGGCACAGGTGCCCTAAGTTTCAGCCATTGTTGCTGTGTGGGATTATTGTTGTGATGTGTATGAATGTTTTCCCCAAGAGAATTAAGATGTGTGGATTTTTAGATGAAATTGCTCTACTCTTAACACCCTCAC